TCAAGTTGAGAAACAGTTGAATATGAAGTGGGGGGGGGTACCTGAAAGACACTCTGATGCCAAAGTGAGGTTCAGAGTGAGATAAAATAAAATAGGTGAGGTAGAATGAATGAATGAATGGATGTCTGACCCTCTCGAGTGAGAGGGTTTATGTATCCCCCAACGCTGGGACAAGGTCTTCAGTGTTGGGCCACGATAAGGCCCAATAATAAAGACTTCTAGGGTTTACGGGTGTATGGAGTCTAGTAAGTGGCCTCCTCCCTGGTCAACTGCTCCGAAAAAGTAGGGAAGTTGGACTCGTTATTCTCGGATGGCAGGATGATGACATTGTGGACACGTGGGGAAATGCCCAACAGTTCTCAGTTTGGGATGCATGCTTTTGGGCCTTTCTAAAGGAGCTAGACTGGGCCTCCCCAATGGTGGGAAAGTGTTGGCCCAGTTCAGAACAAAACGTGTCTCATACAATGCAAAATGACCTATAATTCATCAAAACACTCACGCATTTGGTGCTTCACTCACATAATTTAGATCTAGAATTTTATCAACTTGGGTGACTTGATTGGAGAAGGATTTTGCACGTACCATGATCTCACTCACTTTCCTATAAATAGAAGAAGGTTTTGCATTTATTTACAAGCCTTAATAGCCACAAAACTCTGCCTCTCTCAAGCCCGAAACTCTCAAAAACTAGAAAACCCTAATTAAAATTTTAACTCGTTTCAACTTCAAATCTCCACCCATAAACCTTCATTGGTGTCATCTGAAGTTATTTGAAGCATCATAGAAGTTCTGAACATCTTGCAAGTACCAACTCGATTCCACCATTTTTAGACCTTGAAGCTTCACTTTGAAAAGGTAGTTATGAGTAAAATTATTGAGCAAACAAGTTACCACTCTCTTCGTTTTGCTTCACTGAGTAAAATCCCTCACTCACCTTTCATTTATCGTTTATATTAGTCATTTACTTTTACTTTGAAACTCTTAGGGGTTTTTCGTATTTATGCAAATTATCTCTGCTCAGAGTGAATCAATGGCTCATGAGCAGAGAGACATGAATATGATGTTAGCTAAAACACGTGGTGTTTAAGCTTAAAACAATAAATTCATGAACCTGCAAAACCAAGTGAACGGAGGTTGAAGATGAAGGCGTTCGCGCACAAGAGGTGGAAATATTAATTTCCAACCAATCAGGTTGCGCCATGCCTTCCTCCCTTGCATTTTAATTTTATTTTTATTTTAAATTTCTTTTTATTTCATTTTCTTTAAAAATTAATTTTAAGTAGCTCCAAAATGTTTTTTCACTTTATTTTTTTTTCCATAAAATCACAATTATTTTCTACCACATATTTTTTTTCCATAATTTAAAAATGACTGTGACCGGTGGAAATAGAACTGACTGTTTTTAAGCTGGTTTCGTGAAATGTCGCGGTAAGCAAGAGTCGCCACCATCTTTTATGTTCTCCAACGTGGAAAGGACAAAAGCACAGCAAAATTCCTTCTTTGAGAATGTTTCTCGGTTCGGGAGGTAGATTTATAGAAAGGGAAGGTATTAGCACCCTTTCTATCCGTGGTTATCCACAGGCTCTTAGGTACTTGCTCTTATGTTTTCAAAATTTGTTTGCTTTTCAAGTGTGTGTGGGTTTTGAAAAAGTTTCGTTTGAAAAATTTCTAAGTAACTCTTGTATCAGTCCTCAAGAGTGTATGAAAAATTTGTTTGAAAACTTTTAGAAAGTGTGAGGTGTGAAAAGTATTTTTGTTTGTTTGAGAGAGCAAGTACTTATGAGAAATCTACCTACTCTAAGGAATTAGGTTGTGTAAGAGTCCTTTAGATAGTGCTATCCCACTATTGAGAAGTAGGTAGCACCATCGTTGGAGGTATTCAGGTCAATTCGATTAAGGGACAGTGTGGTCACCGAAGCAATAGTAGGACACCTTAGAAGTAACCCTAATGTCCTAGATCCTTTGTATCCGAGGCAACCGTTTTGAGACAACTGGATCTTTTGGACAGAAGGGCGACCTCTAAGACACCCTATACTTGATGACCACGTCGAGGCAACCAGTGAGGCGTACCCTAAGGAGTGGCATGTGCATGTGTGTTGTGTTTCAGTTAAGGTTATCTTGTACATGTTATTTGTGAGCTACTGATTGGTTTTATTTTATATACATTCTTTCATGCATTGTTAACAGTTAGGAGTACGGAAAATAAATTGCGGAAATGTAAATCTAACTATTACAAGGCACGGGTCTATACATCGCCAAAAAACAAAACCCGTTTGGAAATAAAGTGCGAGAAATAGTAAATAAAGCAGTAAACCTAATTACTATTACATATCCGGAAACAGTTACATAAATAATCAAAAATAAATAAATGCGCGCGAGAATTAAATCGGGAACGTCCTAAGGGTTTTGACCCTTTTTGAATAAGAATTGAATTTTGTCCCTTTTTTTTTGTAATTAATGAAATTAAAATTAATAACTAATTAATTAATTTAATTAAAAGAAAAATATTTTTGTGTTTTTATGTTTTTTTAATGAAAATGAAATAAAAGGAATTAAAATTAAAAGTCCTAATTCTAAATTAATTTTACTTATTAAAAAAAGTTAAAATTGTTCTAATTACACCACTAATTAATTAATATTAAAATTTATTTACAAAAATAAGTTAATAAATAATAAAATGTTTTTTTTTATTTTTTTATGAAAAATATTAATTAAGTTAATAATACTAATAATTAAAAAAAAGGAATTATAAAAGAAAAGAAAAATAAAAAGATCAAAAAAAGGAATAACAAAACCAAGGGGGGGTATGGGCCAGAATTGAGGGTTTGTTTAGCATTGCTGTGGCCCATTAAGCACAAAGTCATGTTAACTCCTAGAATCATGTGCATATGGTTGACTGAAAAGCATGGTGCTCATTATTTCCTGGCCACTGGATTGTTGTTTGTAGACACTTGGCATGCTGAAGCGTCAGGGCACATGGTGTACCACCTTTAGAAGCCTGCACAGGAATACATTGAGAAAAAATGGAAACAGGGAAATTGGGGGACCTGGGAAAACTTACAGCGCGGTATGATGGACCTTAGGACGTGGCAAGGGTTGCTTTAGCTTCATAGTATGGCAAAGAAGAGAGTCACGTTCTCCTTTTGGCCTGAAAATGCTTGCAACACTCCTTTTGATCTCACACTTTTTTTTGACACTTTTTGGATTTTGCTCTGGCCGTTTGTGCACACTCTAGATTGTGAATGAGGCTTGCAAGACTTGCATATATAGTAATGAGTGAGAATAAGTCACATTTAGGAGCCTTTAACCATTGCAATTAAGCTTTGGATTTTGTCTTAACCACCATTAAAGGCCTTTCAAAGCTTGTTCAAAATTTGAATTTTCATGCCTAAATGATCTTAGCACGAAATTGGTAGGTTGCAAATGCTTCATGAAGGCTATTCAAACCATAAGATACCATTTAATTAATTTTTTTAGATTTACTTGAATTATTATGGATTAAAATGAATTAAATCCATAAAAAATAATTAAAAATAGAAAAATAATTATTTGGTCTTGAAATTGATCATGGGACACGTGGGTGGCATGACAAGGCTGAATCAAGTGGAAAAAAGTGGGCCCTTTTGTCAAAAATTGAAGTTTCAAGGATAGTTGACTTTTGCCATTTCACAAAAATTTCCCAACTTCTCCAATGCATATCTTGCTCAATTTGGATCATATGAACATGTTCTTGGACATTTTGGAAAGGTCTTGAAGTCCTCTAACCAATGCCTTTGGTCCCATGACATTTTGAGTTACCAATCTCAAGTTATGGTCTTTGACTTAAAATGCCTTTTTGTTGACTTTTGAAAATGACCTATAATGTTGAAATTGATAACTTTTTGTGAGAGGATTTCTTGGACTTGGAATGTGAATATGATTTGTAGGAAATGTCATCCCCTTCAAAATGAGCATTGGATGGGATTTTTCTGCTGAACCATGAAAAAGTTATGCCTTGGTCAAGTTATAGTTGACTTTTCAACTGTCCAAAAATGGAAACTTTTGCATCTTGATGATTTTTGAGCCATTCTTGTGGAATCATGATCAAGATTTGATCCAATGACTATTGTGGCTTCAAAATAATATGTTGACCAAAATTTTTGACTTTTGACTGCCAAATGACCATTTTACCCCTACAGTTGATTGTGAAGCAATTAGGGTTTTTGATTGTGCAACTTGACCTTGTGAGCCTTGAAACTTGACATGTAGGTGCTTGACAATGTATATGAGCATATGGGACTTGATTGAGCCCTTGAAAACCTCAACTTCCTTGCAAGAACCAAAACCCTAATTTGATTGGCTTATGAGAGTGTTTGAACTGTGCAACCATTGAGTAGACTTGAGCAAATTGAGATGATGCTTGTCAAACTTTGAAGAATATGGGAGGGAAAATTTTGGGGTACAACAATGACTTTTAGCTTATTATTATTATTATTTTTAATTAACTTTAAACAATTATTTCTCCGTCATTTTGATATATTTTTTAGTCCAACTTTTGAGATCTTGATCCTTGGAGTTTTTCTGACTTTCTCACATTTTTGTGGATTTTCATTTGATATTTTGATGCTTCATTTGAATTTTCTATTTAATTTCCATTTTAAACCATTTAAAAATTATTTTGAATTCAATATATATATATATATATATATATATATATATATATATATATATATATATATATATATATATATATATATATATATATATATATATATATATATATATATATATGATTGTTCTTGATGATTTAGATTCTACCTTTTGGTTGACTTGGTCAATTGTGGTTGATTGAAGCTCATCTTATTCAATTGGACTTTAGATTAGTGTTTGATGAACTTTCTTCATTTCAAATCTACTACTAAATGTTTATTTGATCATTTTTGGTACTTTGGATTGATGCTAAGTTTATCTCAATGTATCATGAAGGGGATGAATTGAATTAATGATCCAATCCACATGCCTTAGTGCTTGATCAATTCTCCATCTCTTTCTTCTTCTTCTTTCTTCTTCTTCTTCTTCTTCGTCTTCTCCTTCTTCTTCTCCTTCTTCTTCTCCTGCTTCTCCTTCTCCTTCTCCTTCTCATTCTTCTCCTCCTTCTTCTCATTCTCCTCCTTCTTCTTCTTCTTCTTCTCCTTCTTCTGCTTCTCCTTCTCCTTCTGCTTCTCCTTCTTCTTCTCCTTCTTCTCCTTCTTCTTCTCCTCCTCCTTCTTCTCCTCCTTCTTCTCCTTCTCCTTCTTCTTCTTCTCCTTCTTCTCCTTCTTCTCCTTCTCCTTCTTCTCCTTCTCATTCTCCTTCTCCTTCTCCTTCTCCTTCTCCTTCTCCTTCTCCTTCTCCTTCTCCTTCTCCTCCTCCTCCTTCTTCTTATTCTTCTTCTTCTTCTTCTTCTTCTTCTTCTTCTTCTTCTTCTTCTCTTCCTCCTCCTCCTTATCCTCCTTCTCCTCCTTCTTCTTCTTCTCCTTCTCCTTCTCCTTCTCCTTCTTCTTCTTCTTTCTTTTGTTTTGACTTGTGTTACATTGTTTTAGGAGAATGACTTCTTGTGTCATTTATCTAACATGTATGACACGTACATTTCTATTTCTCAGCCTCAGATAGTTGTGACTTCTACATAAGTCCAATTACAATTGCTTAACATAACACTAAATTATCCCGAATTGGTTGATTAACTACTAATACTAACATTAACTTAATATTATTGTGTTAACTTTTACTTATTGCACTTTACATTAATATCATTTAATTTTATGCCCTTTATATTTCAAGTCATTTATATTTCAAGCCATTTACAGTCATGTCATCTTTATTTTTGCTTTTATTTTTGTTATTTTATGTTTTATTGCCTTTAAGAGACCAAAAACATTGATATAAATAAAAATCCTAAAAAACTTTTAATCTTATTCTACGGACTTGATGTTACTATCATTTGTTTGAAGTTAGACTTTTGGACTTAGATCTAGGATTTCTTTTGTCACCATGCTTGGAAGACAAACCCTAAGGTTTTTCCCAATGAAACCCCCAAAAATTTTCAACCCAACCTTAGGTTACACCAACCTAATTTGAATGTTATCAACACTCGTCTAGATGGCTCCCAAACAAAAAATATTATGTATAATTTCTTTGTGTGTATGCATAGATTTGAGGTTGAAGATGAAGAGCAATTTTTGTATGTGTTTATAGTTTCCTCAAGTTGGAAATAATGTATGTATGGGGTATTTGTAAGTGTGCAAGTTGGAGGTAAAAAGGGAATATTAAAAATTGAGAAAATTGAAAATTTCCAGAAAAGATACAATATGTGTTGACACGTATAAGTCATGTGTTGACACATGTGGACTCACATTGACACATGTGTCACCTGTACAAGGTTATGCGTCGACACAAGAAAACAATAAATTTTAGGCTTTGATAATGCAGTACACGTGTCAACATAAAATCGTATGTGTAGACACATAAATAATTTATTTTAGCATGTGTTGACCTGAAAAGTTGTATGTGTTGACACATGGATACAAAGCCTACATGCTTCATTACTGACCCACATGTGTCGACCTGAAAAACGGATGTGTCGACACATGTATATGTTTTTCATGCATAAACTTAATTTTTATGCTTGTGACCTTTTCCAAACTTGTTCTAAATGCATTTTGATATCCCTAATGCTTGGGTGCACATAATGACTATGAGATACCGTTCAATATACAGAAATGCTAAAGTTTTTTTAGTTTTGACATCATGCAAAACATCTACAGAGAAAATGCACTCACAAGCCAATTCTAGAATATTCAAAAGCTTCTTGAGAAATCAAAACTAGATGCTCATAGCTCCCATAATTCTTTGCTGGTGGGCCTTTATTCTAGGGAGAGATTCAAGAGTGTGCATATATTACTAATGAGGGTTATTTTTCTATGTTTTATTCTGCCTTTGGTTCACTGTGTCTGCAATCTAATTTTTGTTCTAATTACTTTTCTAGTGATTCTGCAATTTTATTTCACCTTCTTTTATAAAAAAATAAATTGATTATGAAGAGTTATATTTTTTTACACATTATTAATGATTTCTGGGGAGTTTTAACCCCTAGAAAAAAAAACTTACAGTTTAAATCTGATTTTTAATACACATGTTGAGTCAGGAGTGTACCTTGAGCGGCTTGAGCCTTGTTGTAAAGCCATGTTAGCAGAACTATCGATTTTTTACAAAAATTGACGGAAAGGACCAAATTGCCTAACAAAAGTGTTTTCAAGGGATTAAATTATAATATTTTTTAGTTAAGAGACTAAAGCGAAATATTAAATTAAATTAAAGGATTTGGTGACTAATTAAAAATATATATATTTATGATTGTTTTCAAATCATTTTAAGGGTAATTGTCTTCAATATTTTGTGTTGAATAAATAAGAATTCACAATCTTAATAATAGTTTCTCATAAGCTTTTATATCCAACATATTTGCTCTTGCCACCAACTATTGTCTATACACCACCTATGTAAACAATAGTCCATTGCCACATTAGATTCAGGCTACAGTGAGAGATTTCAATTGGTCTCTCACCTACGAGAACAAGTTTTCAGCAATATTTGTTTTTGGTTTCAATCATTTACCGGGGGTTATTAGCCCCCGTAAACATATCTTCCACAAAATAACTCTAATGTATGTTGTACGGATTTAAAAACTTTGAAATACGGGGTTTTGACCCCACAAAAATAACCCCAGCTAAATTAGGCAAATAACTCCCACTAAATTGTTAAAAACAAAAAAAAAAAATTTATGTGAAAGATCTATTAGGGTCTTGCATAAGATACGAAGCGGCCACTTTATAATACACCAACATTTATTACACATTACTATATTGTCATATCATAGAAATACAACATTATTGAATAATAGAATCACGCACATTTTAGTTGAAAACAACATCATCAAATGAACCTCTCCACACGACACACCATGCACATGCAATTATCGCAAATGGATTTCATAGACCGTGCCCCTGAAAAAGATTGTAATTAACTGTATAGCATAGACACCTATAAAAAAATACGTATATGTGTCGGTGTCTGAGTCAGACACATGCACTAACACTTGTGATTACATTTAATTTATTCATTTTTTTAATTATTACTAATATTATCGTGTCAGTACCAAGGTATCCGTGTTTCATAAGTAATCATAACCTAAAAGTCCAACCAATTCACCAATGATTACAACTTTTTCAACCTTATCGCAAATTAATTTCATAGACCACATCCCTGAATGGTGTTTTCCTTTTGAATGGAAGCTATTTAGTTTGCTCTTCAGCGTGCATTTAATAATGTATGAAAATATTGTGATTGAATCTCTCTCTTCAATCCATTACACCTAAGATTTTTGCTTCAACAAACACCTCTTTATTATGTAGTTACTTCCAAAACAATTTAGAAGTGAGTTTGTGTTTGTTGGCATCTAGTTCCTCATCCAATTCATTATTAATCGTTGCTTCCACTGCATTTAGATCATATAGCTCTTCAATTTTTTTTAATTTCCAAATGTACACATCCAAATACCTTTTTGTTCCACCACTTAAGATTATATTTCCACTAGTTTGAGTTTTCCCTTTAGAATGAATGTCTTATGCCCAGTTACCTTGAAACATTTCCACGAATCTGCCATACTCGAATTGAAAACCCATTTTCTTGCTTGTCTAACTACTATTGCATTGAAATCACCATGTACACACCATTCATAGTCCATGTTTCTTTCTATAATGTCCATCACTTTCCTCCCCCATTTTGCGCTTACCTTGAATGTTATAGACATCATAAACATAAACATAATTAAGTGCATTCCCTTGACTTTCACCTTCACCCCTACATGACCATTTTCCAAAAAAGCTGAAAATTGCATCGAAACTTCTGATTTCTAAGATATTATTGGCCCTCCCAATAAACCATAAGATGGTTTCAGTCAATTAAATTATAGTGTTACCCAAAATATCTTTAACCAAACCTATTATCAATCATTTGATATTCTTGAAACAAATATACATCAAAATTACTTGATTTTAAGAATTAATCAAATCACATTCTTTTTAAGCTATCGCGACATCCTCTAATGTTGTATGATACTAAATTCATGGCTGACCATTTGTTTTTTCTCCCTCGTCGCTTTCTCATGATGATCACACTCCTCCATCATATGTATTGTCTAGATTTGTTCATTATCATTTTCGAAACCTACACCCTCAATTTCTTTGCTCCATTCTAGATCTTTGATGTTTGTAGCGGTAGAAATATTGAGACTAAGTCATTGAATTGACTTGACTCACACAGATCAAAATAAATATCACTACCGCGCTTTATTGTTTCCAGAGGAATGGGAATAGAGTGAATAACCCAATAAGAGTGAGAGAGAATCTAAGTTCGAGAGTTGATTATACAAAGGGAATGTATTAGCACCCTAAACATCTACGGTACTCCGTATGAACCTCTTTGAGAATTTGTGTATTTTGGCTATAAATGTTGTATATGAAAATAGATTGTGGGGATGAGAAAAGAAGTATTTTTTATGCTTTTTACATCCGCCGCGGTTGCGAACCTTTAGTGTCTACGTACAAACTTTCGTGCAATAGAGGATCAGGGTACACGTAGTTCACCTTTAAAATTAAAAAAAAACACAAGTGTGTTGGTTAATTTTAAGAGACGAGACATCATCGTCTTATCCGAGTGGAAAATATACTTACTACCCACGATTATGAGAAAGGAGAATTTGCGTCATCTCAAAGCAGAGGGTATGACTTGGACTTTAAAATCAACAAAGCCCCACTCAACACCCAAGTGAAAAATATCTCACTTCACTACATATCGTAGAAGTATAGTAGTTCACATCACTACAAGGATTGACAAGAGTTTAATCTTTGAAGAAAATTTTTAAGGTAAAAAGTCAAAGTGGCAAAATAGTTTGAATGAAATTGATTGACTTTTAATCTTCTCACAAAAATGTCAAGGTATTACTAAGTTGATTGAAGTTTGATCAAGAAAATATTTTGAAAATGCATGGACATAAGTCCAAGCTTATTGTGAAAGTGGTTCAAGTTTTAAAACAAGAAGAGTTTTCAAAAGGAGGGAGAATATTTTTGAAATTAAAGAAGGTGGGAGGAGATGAAGGGATTATCCTAAAGCATAAGATAAAAGTTAGAGAAAAGAATCGTCTAACCAACAAGAAGTCAACACTTGACACAATGAGTCAATGTAGAATTTTCATCCTTTGGATTTGAAACCAAATAAGCAAAGATAGTAAACCTCTTAAAAAAATCAAGCTTCAATTGCATTAAGTCTTCATAAAAATTGGGCAGAGTAACAACTGTATACAGATGAATTCTAGATCACAGACAAAGCATGTAATCACAATAATCTGCACATAAAGCAAACAATCAACCCAATATCTTGGGGTAAACCCCAATAACTCCAGACAAAATAACAGTTGAGGTCTCAAGGTAGATCAAGGCTTATAATCCTAAGTCCAAGAAGTCCATAATCTCCATAATGTCAATTATAGTAACCAAATAGTCCAAGTAACATTAAAGTTTTTTATTGTTCAAGTTGGTTATTAAGTATCTTCAAAAAGAAATGAAAAGCTCAAGTGAGCAAAATGAAAATGACATGAAAACAAATGCTCAAATGAGCAAAGATGAAAATAGCATGAAATGTAAATGCTAGAAAAATATGCTTAAAGTAAAAGCATAAAGTAAAAGCACAAAATAAAGTAAATTGTTAGAAATTAGAGGTTAGTTGAATGACCATCTTGAAACTTGTATTTGAAACTCATTAGAAGATTGATAAAATCAAAGCCTCTCAACAATAAGTTTCATTTGCTTTTTTTCAAGTATATCATTCATTTAAAATTCTGAACGCAACAATAAATGATCAATGATGTTTAAGTGATTCACTTTGACCAAAGCTTAAGAAGATTTATTAGAGGATTGATAAGACCAAAGTCTCGTAATAATGAATCTCAAGGTTATTGAATCAAAGGATTCAAATTAACATACTTTGGCTTACAAACATGGGTTTGGGTCACGAATGGTTATTTTTCGAATCGGAACAAAATTTAGTGCTATGTTAAGCAATCATAAGTGGACTTATATAGAAGTCACACCTATTTTTAAGTCGGTCAATAGCAATCTATGTACCATATGTTTTGAGAAATGATATGTAAATCATTCTCCAATAATATTTAGTACAAAAAGAAGATGATAAGATGAAGAGAGAAGGGATAAGAATTAAACCACATTTGTACCAACGAATTTAATCAAACTATTATTAAAATTATTCATCCATTTTTTGTAGAGTTAGACTCAACACCATGTATCCAATGATGTTAACAAAGCTCATGATCCAAATGTCATAGTCCAAGATCAACCAGAATATGTATAAAATAAAATTGTATTTAAAAATAAAGAAAAATATTTTTAAAATGGTTTTTTAAATGAAAATAAAAGGGGAAAATAGCAACTATATTCAAAACATCCAAGAAAAAAATCAATGAGACCATAGAAAAATCAGAAGTAAACTGAAATATTTTTACAAAATTTTTGTTAATTTTTTAAAGTCAGCAATTATTTTTAAAATTAAAAGAAATAGACAAAATAAACCAAAAATTGTGAAAAATAATAAAGTCAGAAATAAAAATGCAATGAGGTCACCAAGATTTATCAAAAGGTCATTGGATCCTTCCATTTTTTTTCCAGAATTTAAAAATTAATAAAAATATTTTTAAACATTTAAAACAACTCAAATAAAGTGAAAAATTATAAAAAAAATATCAAATCACAAAATAAAATTGTAAAAAAATAATAATCAGAAAGAGAAAAATCAAAAGTATTTTTAAGATTTTTTTTGGATTTTTTAAAGTTAAAATGAATTTTTTTATGAATTTTTGAAATTTAAAACAATTAAATATAAAAATCAGAAATAAAAATATAGACCAATTGATGAAAGTCAAAACGCGTTAGTAAGCTAATCCAATGGATCAGACGCGCTGTACATATCATGATCCTCAGGAAATAACACAAGGGATCATTTATTAAAATCAGATTTGAAAAAATGTGTGGCACGATATCATTGGTTGAGAGATGACACGTTGGTCATCTTCAACCTCCAGCCACGCAAATTACAGGTCAATGAAATGGTAAAATTAGAGCTCGAGACCGATATCATTTGCTTCGTCTCTTCAAGACGATTCCAATGGTACCCTCTCGAAAAATTTATGTAAGGCGTAGCTGTTAGAACATAGTTTGATTCTACAACCCTTGTAAGAGTTTTGATGATAACAAACACAAAGAACAATTATGCTCCCTAAATTTATATTCTGTTTTGCAGAGAAGTTATGATGGAAGAAGATCAGAAGATGAGTTAAAAAGTTGTTTAAACTCTGATTATAAACATCTCTTAAAGAAGTTTTAATGCTGCAAATAGGACTCCATGTTTCTGATCTACAAAGCTCTGGAAAGAAGCAACTTATACTTTCATCTTCTGAAGCAAGCATGTTCTGAAGCGTTACAAATCAATTACTACCATTTCAACAGTAACGGCTGGAAGGGAACAAGGATCTTTATTTTTTGAAAGCTCTTTAATTGTCATTGATCAACATTCCAAAAGCTCCTACATGCTTCGCCTATTTAAACAAAGTTTGAAGGATACATCGTTTACGATTTTTCATGCACAGTAGTGAAGCTATCTTTTTCATCCTCAAACGTTCAAAATTCAAACAGTGTAAAACATCACTTGTGATACTGTTTTATTAGAAAACATTCTTGTACACTTTTATTCAAATATTGTTTAGAGAAATTCCTTGAGAAAATTGGCTTGTGGTTTATACTCAAGAAGACTTTGACGGTTGTCATAGTAGATTTGTAATCAAGATTGATTAATGGATTAAGACCTCGTTGAGAGAGGCGAAATCACCTTGGCGGATGGACTAGAGTAGTTTGAGTTCAAACAAACCAGGATAACCAACATGTTCTTATCTTTAAGTTTTAAAAATCCCAATTCAAACCCTTCTTTCTTGTGTTTTTACATTCTTCAATTGGCATCAGAGCGCCTGATTCTGAGTACAAGCACTTAACCGTGTCAGAAAAAGATCCAAGCTAAGAAAAATACTATGGTGGGACCAAGTCAGAACATCAGCAATGACTACCATGATGAGAAAGACAGAATCAGTGGAAAATATCCAATCTTTGATGGAGAGAACTTTGATTACTGGAAAGACAGAATGGAAAGTTTCTTTCTGGGTCATGACACTGATCTCTGGGATATGGTGACTGATGGGTACATACATCCTGTTGATGAAAATGGTCAGAATATTGATAGAAAAAGAATGTCAGATCATCAAAAGTGAGACTTCAGAAATCATCACAAGGCTATAACTATCCTCTTGAGTGTTATCTCATACACAGAGTATGAGAATATCACAAACAGAGAGTCAACAAAAAAACATGTTTGATTCCTTGAGAATGACGCATGAAGGCAACATGCAAGTCAAATAAACCAAAGCTCTTGTGCTCATTCAGAAGTACGAAGCCTTCAAAATGGAAGAAGATGAAACCATTGAAATAATGTTCTCAAGATTTCAAATTCTGGTTGTTGGGCTAAAAGTTCTAGATAAAGGGTACTCAACTGCTGATCATGTAAAGAAGATCATCAGAAGTTTACCAAAGAAATGGAGACCCATGGTCACTGCTCTCAAACTGGCCAAAGATCTGAATAAAATCTCTCTCGAAGAACTTGTCAGCTCTCTCAAAAGTCATGAGATAGAGTTAGAAGAAGATGATCCCCAGAAGCAAGGTAAGTCTTTAGCCCTTAAATCTAACAAAAAATTTGAATCTAAAGTTTTGCAGGAAATAGAAG